TAAATACCCAAATTGGTGTTAGGGGAAAGGCATGATTTTCCTATCATGAACTCTAATTTTTCTATGCAAAGGAAGAAAAAATTGGCTAGTAGGATTTTAATTATTAAAGGCAATTAGGATTTGTAACCCCTAAAGCGAAGCTACGATTTTTTTAAAAAAAATGTATCAACTGTCATTATTGAATAGATCGGATTTAGATATGAGATTTTCTACCTTCTTTTAAAACTTCAATTTCTATCATAGAAAGAAAATTGTCCTCAATATTTGGCAAAAAAGGATAGGATTGAGGATAGCATATTAGCTAATTATTAAAAAAGCGATGCTGAGATGCTAATAAAAAAAAATGCTCGACAAAAAATGCAAAAAATTTGCTCGGCATCTAGGCTCTATTTATTAGTGATTTTGACTTGCTGAGTTTTCTTCTTTATTCATGAAATATTTATCAAAATTTTTCATGAATGATCATATGTATATACATGCTTCACCCAAAATTTTTGAGACGTAATTCTATTATTTTGAATTTTGGAGAAACATCTATTTTCAGATGTCTTGGTAAATGAGTCGTCATGTTGTATTCAATAATTTCTACAACCAAAATAGTTATAAAAAAATTTCAAATTTTATGTGGTTGTAAAAGTCATTTTCATAAATTTTTTCATGTCAAAATACTTTCATTGATAGGCTACAAAAATTATAAAGTGTCACTTCATCAAATCTATCCCTTCAATAACCACATTCTTTAAATTTTTTTCATTGGAATCAATTTTATTTTCCAAAGAGAATCCTTTGAGTGTACAGATTTAATTTTTTTTCAAAATTTTAAATAAAGCATATTTTTCTAAGAAAATCTAGTGGTGGCTGATTGATAATTCCAACACGATTTTATTGTCAAATAGAAATTTACTAAGGTATTAAACAAGTAAAATTTTTGATATTTTGAATGTTGTTGGAAGGAAAACTCATTGATCCCTGAATTCATATGATTATTTTATTTCAAATTTTTTAGATTGTGGGTAAAAGACTATCAAAAAAACTGCCAAGGAAAAAAGAATATACATCAGAATACTAAAGTCAGAAATTTTATTTCTCAAATTTTTCTTTTTGTTTGAAAATATACTCATAATATATTTTTAAAAGATGATGGCCAAACAAAACTAAGTAGTATGATAATGATTGATAAAATTGCGCCTACTATTATCAATAATGGTCTTGTGATAATTTATAAAAAGGTTCATTGCCAAATGACATGGTTGTTCTCACCCCCTAGAAAGTATGACCAAGCACGCTTTCCTCCAGTGTATATCACTATTTATAAAATGGCTGTATGTGTGAAGTTGAGATTCCCTCTCGTCTCTAAACTAATTGAGATCATTACTGCATGCAACATTACTGTCTCACAATTTTCGTGTAGAGATATGATAATCATTTAAGGCTTAATTTTTTTCTTCAATGAACGTGGAGCAAAATTAAATATTTGATATTTATCTAAAATGTGCACATTTATATGTGATACTCCAAGGCATGTTTCATGCAGTAGCAAAAAGTGATAGGATTATAAAAATGATAACTTTCTATGAATTAGTCCAATTGATTTTTTTTGAAGAAAAATTTGAGGTTTGCCCCAAAAAAAGAAAACTAGAAAAGACTGAAGAAGCTACCGAATCCAACTCACATCATTAGAGGAGGAAATATTTAAAGTCTTTAATATCCAAAATGTAGAGTATTCAGTATAAGTTGCAATATATTCATCAATCTAATATGAAGGATATATTATTCAAGTCTGATCTTTCCATTTGGGCAAGAAGATCACATCTCTTTGAAGAAATCTAGCAAAGATCAGGGCGATTCTTAGTGCCCTCAAATTTTATCTAAAAGTCCTTCAAAAAGTTGTAATAATAAGTCTTCACCTTTAAAGAACAAAAAAGTGAATGGTTGAGTAACTGAAAGCAGCAATCGTTGAGGGAAAGCAACTGTCCCCTAATAATTTATGATGATATTATCAACTTGAACCTTGATAAGAGGTTCAACTTTCAAAGTTACACATCCTAAATGGGGCGCTAAAACATATATGTATTGGCATTGAGCAAATAAGTTGGTAGGCTATCTCCACTCTCTTTCTTTTAACAAAATATTCAATTTGCACTTTAGTTTAACATATGTGTATGTTTATAATAAATGATTTAAAAGATGAAGTTTGAGGCCCAAGCACTCAGCTTGATGAATGAAACATGGAGTTTATAAAGATTAAACACTTACAAGGAGAGTATGAACAAATGGTTGATTGCTAAGGCCAATGAATAAATGACCCTAAAGGACAAATTAGTGGGGCCTCAAGCTGAATTGACAACTATATCAACTTCCCTTTCTTTATAACATCAAGAGATTGATCATTCTCATGATAAGTTGGTTGAGATATAGGCAAAAATCAACTAGAGAGAAAAGGACTTCAATGCACTTACGGCAGAGAAGAAAACTATTTAAATGAAAAAGAAATTTGCAAAATTGCTGCTAAAAAAAGAAACTATTAAATCAGAAGCTGATGTTGAGATAACAAATATCCTTAGACTTTAAAGAACTCTATGGCCTCTAGTAGTGTGATCAGGATTGTATTCGAGACTCTCTTGATAAAATATTTGAAATTACGATGAAGGACTTGAAGCGTCAATGTTTAGAGAGAGATTATATCTAAGGGTTTTTAAAATAAGTTAATTTGGTGCAAAGCAATTGTTGAGGGGCTACCTCCCAACCAGTCATCCAAAAACCCCTCATATTTTGAAGGTGATGTTGCAAGTGAGTTGAAAAGTAAACAATCTTTAATGATAAGGAGTACGTTACTTTCATATAAAAGAGTATCTCTTCTCATATGTTATTTATCTCTTAGATATATATTTATTTTTTATTTTCATGTCTTCATGTGTTACTATATAGACATTATTGTTTTCTGCACACCAAATCATCAGGAGTGAGGGTATGTTAATCTTTATATAAATATAGAATCTCATCAGATGCCAATATAGTTGTTGCATCTAGGTTGCCAAACAGTAATCCTCCTAAACTAACATGGAAAATAATTATGAGTTGTAACAAGGTGAGTTGTCAAAAGGTTTGAAGAATTTGTGGTTTAACTAAATTCCTCAAGTAGCCTAAAGGCTCTAGTTTATATGGAGGACAATCGCTAGAAATCCTCTAAGAAATTTATCCTATCATAGATTATTTTTCTAGGGTGTTTCCCTTAATCTTAACATGTTGAAAGAAAGAGCGAAATCCACCAATGATTATTGACCTATCCTAGGGTGTTGCTCATTGAAATTTAACTTGTAGTAGAAGAGATCAAATTAAACTCACCTTAAAATCGATCACTTTTTAATTGAGATGCGACAAAGTTCACATATCAAATCATGTTCAAAGATTGGTCTTTCTTTAAACTATTAGTTCATTTTCGAAGTCATTATTATGACCATGCCTAGCAAAGAAAAAATTTTATGACACAAAAAAAATTTGAGAAAAAGGAACTAGACTTTATTATTTTGATAAAAAATGATATTATATTAAGATTATAGGGAAATTTATTCCAAAAAAAAAAAAAAGAAATCTACATGTGCGTGCCAAGAGTCACTGATAATACTTACAAATATTTCTTATATTCTAAAATTAGGTAGCATTTTTTCTTTAAATTTGAATGTTCATGGCTTGACCATAGCTGCAACCACATAGGGGCTCACTAAGAGGGATAAAAGTTTATTGCATTGAAGTCCCTTTCCTGGAGCTTTGAGACTGCGCAAATCCAAGTCTCCAATAGCGATAGGTTAGGGCTTCACCCCCTAGTTGAACAGGCGAGCTACCCTTTAGTGGTAGGGGCAATCTTAAATAGGGCCGCATCACATCAATGTGGGTGAAGGTCTAAGTTATATCGATGTTTGCCTTCATTATTTCTAAGATCGAAGATCTGAACACTTAGGCTTGGGACTCTAATGCCAATCATAATAATAGTTTATATTGAAGCTTAGGTCACTTGATAGAGTTCATGAGGTAGTGTAGTTGACCTAAAGAACATTGAGGAGCTCTCCAACTCATCGCCTCCTACCTTTCTAAAACACATTTATAATCATTTTTAGCATATTTTGATTAATAGCCTTGATACATCCATTCACCTAAGGATGAGCTACAAGTGCATGAAGTAGTTACATATGGAAATTTTTTACAAGGATATAAAAACCTTCTAAGGGAAATGTGACCTAATATCAACAATGATCTTTGTAGGGAGGCCAAAGAGACAAATTATATTGTTCTAAATGCTTCCATAATACTAACATACATTTTGGCCACTACCCATCTAATAAAGTAGTCAACAACTATAATGATAAACTTTTACAATCTGATGTCTATGAGAAAATGTCCCATAATATTGTTCTCCCACTATAGCATGCAAGATTCAGAGATCCTCTAGTCATCCAATTAATGTCCAAAAAATTCCAACCACATTTCAAGCGCTTGATTTGGGTTCATTGGACAACTATAAATTTGCTCAAATCAAAATTTGAATGATCATGAATTTAATTACAGAACATTAGAGCTCAAATATTACATCAAAATGTGTGCTTGATCGGATAAACCTTTTGGTGTCATATCAACTAGCAGCTTGATGTTCTAAAAACATAAATCAAGCTCGATTCTTGGATAACACTAATAGGGTTTAATAATGGGCATAATTCAGAGACAAAACCAAAATATTTTTGTGGTAAAGAACAAGTAATGATAAAATCCAAAGAAAATAGAACTTGCTCAACCTTTGGAGTTTCCTATTGAACAATGATATTTTCTGATAAAAAGTATGATTTCTTCACACACAACCATCCAGGTGTGCCAGGCATTAGCACAAAAAGTAAAGAGCTTTTCAAACTTCTCAACAAAATAGCAAAAGAAATATTGGAAACAAAATAAAGTAAAGCAATCCCTAGTAAGAAATAGCACTAGAACGGAAGGAAAAGAAAGGATGGTACCGCTTATCCGAAGATCCGCCCTTCTGGCTGAGGAAGGAGCGGAAGAGGGGAGAGTTCACGTCGTAGATCATTGCTAGGGTTGTGCTGTGCGATGAAGGCGATGAATAGAGCGTCTCAGCTTCCCGAGCCCTTTATTTATTTATCCGCACCCGAAGTATGCGTGCAGTAAGGCGGCAAATCTCAAGGGTTTTTGACCTAATTTAACGCAGTATTCGGACCGGAAATTTGACTGGACTCATAATACAAATAAATTAAAAAAATAACTCAGCTCTTTTTTATATCCTTAATTTTTCTTATTAAATGTATCCTTTATGTTAAAAATGCTTGATCTATATTATGAGAAAGGCTATTAAAAAAAATTTCTATGAATTCTCTATTATCAAAATTAGATATTCAATTCGTCTCCTGCCATTCATTTAACCACCTTTCAGGTCATAAACGAGTCGAATTAAGCTTGAGTTATTCTTGATTTGAGCTTGAGCTTGATTAATTAATTGAGCCCAAGCTCGAGCTCAAGCTTTATTTTATGAGTTCGAGTTGGCTCACAAGCTGATTCATTTATTATGAAAAAGTGAAAATGGTTATGATTCAAACGATTATTATAATAAACTGATTAAAAATAAGAAATTTAATAAATAATCACTTAATATAAGAAAATATGAATGATTATATATTTTAATCGGATTCTATATTAATATTTTGTAAGCAAATTAGCTTGTGTGTTAATGAATCGAGTTGAGGCTAGCTCAATATTGACTCGTTAGCTCATCGAGCTCGGCTCTTGAGCCATTCATCGACCAACCCAGAGTCGAGTCACGTGTCGACTTGACTCACTTACACCACTAATCACCCTACAAGGTTGAGAATGTCTGAGAATTAAAACTAATTTTCACATCTTCATAGGAGCCAAAAGCGCCTTTTGCAATCTATAACGCCCGTGAGCTTTAAATATGGCCTTGATGCTTCATTTCAACTTCGAAGCACTTTTTTTTTAAATCTGCTATAGGCTTCGTTTAGGACAACTTTCTTACTACTTTTTAAAGCATTTTTTAGTACAAAAACTTTTTTAAACATGAAATTTTTATACTAAAAAGTTATTTTAAAAAGCAGTAAGAAAATTATCCCAGATGAAGTCAAAATCAATAGCTTCTTCTTCCCCTGCTCCAATTATCCCTCATTCAAGAAGTTCAATCGCTCGTAAATCAACTAGCCTTTAATTGCAAAATCTCACTTTTGCTCAACTTTTCTATGTTGAAGAATCTATTTTGTAATCAATTATGATATAGAAAATAATAAATCATCTTCAAAGATAGAAATAATAGTTTATAATATATTCAAAAGTAAAATAAAATCTTTAAAAAATGTTGATGTTCTTAGCTACTTTTTCGTACATAAGGGTTTGATTTGCAATTAAATTTTTATATTAGTTTTCAATCAAATTTTGGTTTTGGTTTATAATCACATAACTTTAGATTTTTATTTTTTTTCAACTAAACATGTTTTGGTTTAGTAGCAATAGCTAAAAAAGAATATTCTAATGAAATGAAATATTGAATATCATATAAGAAAATATAAAACTAAAATACAATAAAAAAAATATCATACTCTAGAGAGGCTAAAGCTGGCGTTCCATCGAACACCACATATAAAGTTATGAGTGTGTGTTTTAGGCTTCATTTGTGACAGCTTTTTTATTGTTTTTTAAAATAATTTTTTTGCAGCAAAAAAGTATGGAATTATAAACTTTTGTATTAAAAAGCTACTTTAAAAAGGAGTAAGAAATATGTTCTAGACAAAGCCTTAAGCTTCGTTTGAGACGGCTTTCTTGATACTTCTTAAAGCAGCTTTCTATTGCAAAAATTTAAATATTTATACTAAAAAACTGCTTTAAGAAGCAACTAGAAAGCCATCAGGCTTCGTTTGGGATGGCTTTTTAACTGCTTCTTAAAGTAACTTTCTAGTATAAAAATTTTAATTTTTAAACTAAAAAATTAATTTAAGAAGCAATAGAAAAGTCATCCCAAACGAAGCCTTAATCTCAATTTTAAATTGTTAAATTTAATTCATGGGTGCTTTCAATTTAAATTCTTATTGATTTATAGCTTTAAAGGGATATGTGGTTTCATTTTTATCTAATGATTTAAAGAATACTTTAAATGTATAATATTCACCTTAAGGTGAATTTTATTATCTAAAGCATTTAAACATAGTAAGATTTACACCTCGCTTAAGGGGTGAAGACTATAAAATCCTAGAGGCAAAAAGAGTCTTTTGTGCTTTTTTTGATATTTAAATATTTAACTTAGGGGTTTGTAAAAGAAGATTTTATTATAAGCATGATGATATTTCAAATTATTCAATATATTAATCTTTGTAATTTTGTAAATTCATAATTTTTTTTTTTTGAACATTTTCTCATTTCTTTTGAATTACTAATGCTTTTTTTTTTTTATTTCTAAGTCATTTAATCATTTTATTATTAAACCTAGAGTTTATTAGTTTTTATTTTAAATCTAATAATGTAAGAAAATTATAGATAGGTATAAATAGCCAAGAAAATCCAATAAAAATTAAAAAAATTATTTTAATTGATTTAGAATTTCATATATTTTAAAATTATTTAATAATGAAATTCAATATTATATAATAATCCCATTTTTATTTTCCAATTAAATGAACTCTAAATTTAATAAATTTAGTACGCAAATTAGATCTAATCCAATGATGATCTTATTAAAATTTAAAATCAATCAAATTTGGTTCTGATTCATTATATTTAATCTGATTTTAATGATATATTTTTTTTATTAAAAAGAATTCAAATCAAAACCATTAAATTACTTTAAAATAATGTCATATATAATACTCGAACCCGACCCAATTTTTGCAAACGGGTTGATTTTTTCGACCCGAACCTGACCCGCTTCAGGATGTTTTAATAATTTTTTTTATTAATTCAATTTATTTAAACCTAAATCAAATTAATGTAAGATTTACTTCAACCAATTTAAAATAAATCAAGCTTAATTCAATTTGGGCAGCATAATTTATTATTTTTTGGAAATAGCATTTACTTATTTCATAATAATATTTTAAAACCCTCCTAAATAAAAAAAAGGGTCAAACCAGGTTGATTCGAATTTCCGGGTCAACCCGAACCCGAACCGATTTTAAAAACGAGCAGAAATCCCTAACCCAAACTCTACCCGGTGTTGACCCGAGCCCGAAACTTTTAGGCCGAATTTTCAGGTCGTGTCAAATATTGACACCCCTAGTCAGCTACCAGCTGCTACAAGTAGAAAAGCATTGAACAATAAGTATAAACTGTAAAACAATCAGGAAATACATAACTAAATGCACATATTATAATTAGATAAGTAACAATTATTCACAATATTTTCACATTAAAACTCTTAGAAACACAATGTAAAATGTCAAGCAAAGCAAGAAAAAAAATTTAATCACATTACAGCAAAAGACTGAAGAAGAACAGAGATCAACCTTCAATGATCTTATTCATTGAACAGAAAATTGTCAGGCAGGGATTTCTTTTGATTTAAGGTAGACAGCCTCCCACAGAACATTCCTGAAGATTTCATTAAACCAGCTGAATTTCAGAGGTAGAAGCCATCCATTATGCAGCTGCAATTGTTTTCTGAACTCTGATCATAAATACATTAAACTGAGGAAGATGAACAAAACAAAAATGTTTTGGGAACAACAGAAACCAATTTGGAAAAATCATGATGTTCATATCATCATTGATTTGATATGATGTGGATACATTGAAAGAGTCGATCGGCGTAGCATAACTGTAAAAAATAAGACTGATATGTTAATGTTATATTTTATAAATTATTGATATACAATATGTAAATTACACTATTTTCGATTTAATGCGCCTATAATATCAAACATATATACTCACAAAAATAAACACTATTAGTAATAGAGGAAATGCTCTATCACATATAACAATGCAACGACTATCATATATTTTATACTTAGATTTCGTTTGGAACGGCTTTCTTACTGCTTCTTAAAACAGTTCTTAGTATAAAATTTTTAATTTTTATGCTCAAAAGTTACTTTAAGAAGCAACAAAAAAACATCGTCCCAAACGAAGCCTTATATTGATATCTCACCGGGAGGCTATTTCTCATGTGCGTGTCCGGATTGTGTTCGGCGCTCAATCGTGAACCTAATTTTATCTTGAAATGCTTTTGACACAATTTTAAGCATATCGGACACAACAGGGCGCGTCTAAGATGTGGCATGTTTCGACATGGACACCAAGATATTTGGAAATATCAGTGCTTCCTACTAGATCTACTACTTGGATGAAAATAAGATAGGAAGAATAGTTTCATTAGGTTCACTAAGGATTAGAGAGGGTATTGTTGCAGTGAAAGAGTTAGCAAGTCAACTTTATGTTTGAAAGATCCATTGTTAGAGAGGGCAGTCTTCAACAGAAAATTTCTCCTATTATATATTTTCAAGAAACCATCACAGAATACAACTTGATATAAGTTCAGAATCAGAAGTTTGTGGGGAAAAAAAAAACAGTTTTGATGAACAATATCAACTTATCAAAGAAAAATATACACCAATGACTAAATTTACACAGGTGTTATGTTATAACTCATGGAGACAAGAAAATGAGGAAACCTGGCATGCGTTGTTATCATTCTGATTCAACATCCTCATCACCGGAATCTATTTGCTGTGAATCAGACAATGAAAGGCGCCTCGATTTACCAGGGCCAGCTTCAAGAGGACCATCTGACGAAAAGGTTAATGCAGGAAGTGCCGATGATGATCCCAAAAGTCGACGAACAACAGGAACATTAGGTGATGATGATGTTGAAAGACCATAAGCAAAGATGCCCATTGGAGCAGCAACGGGGTGATCAAATTTGCAATTTGGGCCAAATTTGCAGATACCATACCGAGAATAAAAAATACATAAAGGTTCACCCTGCATGATAGAAGTAGATAAATCTTAGTTGCAGAATCTGAGAACTCTCAAGGGTTACTGACAATTTATAACGTATGATCTTTTCAAGTCATTTGTTGAGAATTTGTCATTAAATGTACAATTAAGAAACCAGATGAAACAATTTCAAGTCTTCAATAAAAACTTTCCTCATAAAAACAAAAATGAATGAGGAAAATAATATTCAAGTCTATCAAAGAAGCCTAAATATTTGGCATAAAAATGTTCATGAGTTGCATATTACATCATAAAATTATCTATTTAGTTTTAAGAAACCTAAATGAAAAAATTGCAGGAATACTCGTGGAAATGATTATAATCATCGTCATTGTTAACCTGATCCCAACTATTTAGAGTTGCTTTTATGAATCCTCATTTTTTTTTTCGTTGTAGCTGAGTGTTTCTTACAGTATTATAAACCTATTTGATAGAGAACACTTTGAACTTCTATCCATTTTACCTTCAGATCTGTCATTTTTCCTTTCTAACTATTCGACATTATTTTTTTATACTGGTCTAATAGTGCATTTTCCATCATCGTAAATGTCCAAATCTCCCAAGTAAATTTTCAATTCCTTAATCTTCAATAGACATCACTCGAACCATATAAGAACTCCTTAATTTATCGTTCTCAGTTTTATCGCACATTCATCTTAGCATTCTCATTTCCTCTATGCTCAACTTAGTTATACACATCTTTTTTACTGCCCAACACTCAAATTCATACACTAATATAAGCCAAATTGAAATTTTATAAAGTTAACCTTAAGTCCTATTATATCCTATTATTGCATATGAATCTTGATCTACTTCTCCGTTTTAACAATGTGGCCTTAACTTAAAAGTTATGTCCTCATCTATATTATCATTCTTTTGTATAATAAATCAAAGGTACTCTAAGTTTATCACACCTCTGGTATCACTTTATTTTCTAATAATATTGACTGATAAATGTTAAGCTGAGCTTAAGTGTTCGCCATAGCAAAGTGAGGCATTAAATTTTCAATTATTTTAATTAAGAGAAAAATTTAGAAAATATATAATATGATATAATAATAAATAATTAAAATATAGTAGAAATAAAACATTTTAAATTCTTGTCATTCCAAATACAAAACGACAATATTATCAAATAAATTGTCTGAAACAAAGTGTTCATAAGGTTTAAAAGTTCTGTTCCAACCAATTTCAAACCAACAAATACAAACTTAAGCTAATAACTTTCATATTAATCTAATCTTAGCCACAACTTATTTAATTTTCTTCATCACCCCATACTCTATTTCCGAATCCTTACAGTTCTAAACTTCCATCTCATAATATGATTATCTAAGCTTTAAAATCTTTAAGGAAAAAATTCTCAAAATATAATTTTCATTTTTCTTTAATATTTTCATAATTAACTAAAATCTTATCATCTTTGCTTCTAATATATCTAAGTTGATCAAAATCTTTATATCTTGTATCTCTCGCCTTAGCTATTTTATGTATCTTTGTTTCTTTTTCCTAGTACCAAGTTAATTATCTAAATCATCAAAAGTTATAACATTTTTACGTATTGAAATACTTTCCTAGAATCATCATATGCCTCTATGATACTTCTTTTTACCCCTATTTACGAATATTTGAGACTCATCACTCCACCACTAAGTATCAATCAGTTTACAATATATTTCAAGACTCGCCTAATACTTACATAACAATCTTTATAATGAAATTAGTCATCTTATCCCAAATCATGTTTGAATCAACTAAATAATTATAATTTGAATCTTATTAACCTACCTTGAAATATTAAATTATCTCATTTCAAATTCCACCACTTTATTTTGGGGCAATTATTTCTTTTGATAACTTTCCTTAAAACTGACTAACTAGCTTACCGGGCGTAAGGGAAGACCCAATGGGCTCAGCACACAATTTGGAGCAGGAATTAGTCTTTCTCTAGGATGATGAAACCTGCAAACTGCGCCAAATTTACAGTCCCCAGTTTTCATATAGAACTGGCATTCAGGTTCGCCGGGTCTCTCAGGAAATATGCCATCCCTCTGCAATGCATACTGCCCCAAAGGAACTGAACCAAATCGAAAAGAAGAAAATGATGCTGAAGAACCTGTGCTTGTTTCACTTTGGTGTGACGTTCCATAGAATTGAGCGTTCCCAGAATTTTGTTGCTGGTTCTCAGGAGATGAAGCAGATCCATATTGTCCCTGCAGGAAATGATCTAAATCAGAATGATAGTCGTATCATCACTAGAAAAAGAAATAAAAACACCAGTAAGATGATAAAATCTGCAGAGGATAATTAAAATATTAAATTTGATACATTTTATAGGAAGCACTTAGGTAGTAATAAATTCATAAACTTAAAAAACAGAAATCTCAAATAACCCAATCAAACTTGAGATTATTAAGTGTTAAATTCAGAGAATTGGAGAGGGAAAAAGTTTTAATTTTATTATACAAAACTATCCCTATTTATTGATCTATACAAGATATCTTAATAAAAAAATAAATAACAACATAATCATACATAATTGCCCTAATATAATCCTTCCTAAATCAGTCACCCAAATATGGAAGGAGATCAGCGTGATCCATGTGAGCCTCCCACGGATCCCCATGCTGCCATAAGATCAAGAGGTAAGGAACGGCTGAGATTTAACAGGTACGCCTCCCAAATATGGAAGGAGATCATCATGATCCAAATGAGCCTTCCTAAATCTGCTTGTTTGTGATCAATGTGGTCTTGTTCATGCTCCTGTTGCACTTTCCTACTTGCCCACATGCTGAGTTGACAACCATTCCAACATAAGCCCATCTCGAGGTCCCCGCAAGCCCCCATCTGATTTCAATAACATTCCCAGCTCTTACTGCATCACCTAGCTAATCTAGCTCATTATGTTCCCAAATGTGCCTGTTTGTTTCCCCTACTTCATACTTAATATTTTCAGGCATGAATTAAATCCTATTAGATTCCTTGTACAACTCCCCTGTTGATACGAGACCTTACTCCACACTGGTACAACCATCAAGTTTAATTGAGCAAACTATCTTAAGTGGTCGAGGGCTTTTCATTATCTCAGGATCACATGACAAACTCTATAATTAGGGGTGTCAATTTGGATTAGTAGGTAGGGTACAAGTTTAACCTAAAGTTGACCAAACCCAAAGATGCTTGACCCGTCTGACCCAACCCCGACTTATTTATCATGAGTCAAAATTTTTTACCAGAACTTGACCCATTTATTAAGTAGATCCTAAACTTTTTCAGAACAACATGACTTTTTTAATCCGAATATGACCAATTTAACTCGAACTCGGCTTGTTTTACTAGAACTCAAATGATTATCAAATAAATTTTGAGTCAATTTTGGACTTTTGGGTCAAGAGTTTAGACCAGAACCCAACCTGACTAATAATTGAGTCAACCCAAACCTAATTGTTTTGAGTTGGGTTTGGGTTGGGTGATCGTGTCAGATTAATTATTGACACCCCTATCCATAATCTTGATACTCTTGTAAAAATGAGACCCTTTAACTTTCAAAATGATAAGCTTATGATAAAGTTATTCTTGATCGACTCATTAATAGTTTTAAACCATCAATTTCTTTCAAGGCACTGCTAATAAGATGCTGGACTTTTTTAGATCTACGTAATTTCAAAATAGCAATAACTTTAGGATCTACACTCTCAATTTTGATACTTTTTCCCTCCAACAAAACAACCTGCCAATTTAAGAGTACTATAATACCTTGAGAGAAAAATGAGATAAATTCCTCCAGTATCATCCCTTCATCGCTGGTCATATTTTCTGTCAAAAAATTGAATGAAGATTTTTTTGTTGCAAAGTTCCAGTCTAGACTTCATTCATCTCTTCATTGTATATAATCTCAACTGATGGCCGACTTTATCATACCAAACTATACTACCGCTCCATCTTAGGGTTTTCATGTTGCCAAACCATCAAATCCTTATCATTCAACCCATGACCACTCTACCCTTATTGCAAGTTCGTAAGGTTGGCATGTTTGAGGAATATGAAATCGTGGCTGTTTCAACTGCACAAATCATCCTCATGAATGATGCTGTCGAAAATTGATTGCTCAAACATTCATCTACAAATAACTCCTTGTTATTGCCTTAATCTGGTTCTAACTCATTTATTATCCCTTATTATGAATATGGCGAACTGCTTCAACATACGAAGGCCTGTTAGTATCTTAGACTATCTCATCCTTCAAATATATAGTTAAAGCCTTGACCGAAAAATCATGGGTTTTAGATTCAGGAGTGTCTTCAGTCTTTCGTTGCTAAGTCCCAAGCTGTGGATGAGAAAAGTGGAGGTTGAGTTAAGTAGTTAAAAACCAGCGTAAAATTTGTCAAACAATCATGAGTTCAGAGTGATGGTTTGGATGGTTGAAGTTGAAAAGCGCAACTCAAACTTGAGAGAAATTTTTATTAGATAGTGGTAATTTTTATTAGATAGTGGTAAGATCTACAATGCTTTATGACGTAGAATGCTAACTAGTAAAAGAGAATCATAAAATTAAGTGTTGCAAAGATGAGAATGCTCAAGTGGATGAGTTGCTTTATACTTAGAGATAGAATATGAAACGAGTATATATGTGAAAAGGTTGGAATAACTCTAGTGGCAAATAAGATTAGAGAGAGTTGCCTTAGATAATTTGGTCATATAAAATATTAGCTTTCCAATGACCCGGTTAGAAGAGTAAATGTATTAGAGCCGACCTATGTCAAGGTAGAGGTAGACTTAAAAAAGACTTGGTTAAAAAGTATTAAAACTGACCTTTTTTATTATATTTAAATGAGAAGTTGACTTTTAATAGAACAAAATGGAGAAAATTGATTCATGTAGCCGACCCCATTTAGTGGGATAAAGGCATGTTATTGTAGCATCTTCCCAAATGACAAGAAATAAAAAATTATTTGTTTAAATGCACATCTATTTTACCATATGTCATCATTGTTAATGGTTCCCCATCCCTATTTCTGGAAAAGGGCATTGTTCACCCTTCCAAAAACCTTACTCTCTAAGATGTGTTATATATTCCAAAGTTTCTAGTAACTTTACCATCTATACATTGTCTAATTAAAACCCATAATTGTTAAGTAACCTGTTATCTTACTCATTGTGTCTTTAAAACTCTCAACTCAAAAAAGAAGATTAACCAAGATATTGAATCTGGAGAAATCTACTACTTAGCGCCTAACATTTCTTCTACCTTGCTTCCACAACTAATCCTTATCAGTGGTACTATAATTTTGGTGGTCCGCCAGCTTGACTTTAGGAATGTCATCTGTTCTTCTTCCAAATTTGAATTTTATGCTTGTGAATTAGTAAATATCATGTGTCACTCTAGTCATCCATTACAAATAATTTTATTTTTCATTTTGAGTTGGTTCATTATGATATTTAAGGCTCTAGTCCAGTTCTAAGTCACATAGTGATGGGTTTGCTATTTTGTTACTTTTAGTGATGATCATTCTCAAATTACCATGGCATATTTATTAAAATGTTGGCCATAAGTCTTTAACAGGTTTTATAAAGATATTTCTGTTTTACTTCACTGAAAGCTTGCATGTTCATAATGCTTTAGAAAACCTGAAAACCCAATTTCATAAATTTTATTTTAAAATGACATTCTTCATCAAACCACATATTCATATAACTCCCAGCAAAATAGAGCCACAAAATGCCAACATCATCATGCTAATGTCGCTAGGGAACTAATATTTCACATGAATGCCACCACTATTTTTTAGGAGATTTAATTCTAATTGCTCAATATCTTATTAATTATATACCCGCTACAAGTATTAATAAGCTATTACCAATGAGCATTCTCTCACCCACTCTACCTAACTTTCTCTTACTCTATGGGAGTTTGGTTGCTTTTGCTTTATTAATGTTTTTCACTCACACGATAAACTCTCCCCATGTCACTCGTTTTATATTCCTTGGGTACTCCTGAACTCAAACAAGTTATAAATGTTATGAACCACTTACTAAATGCTTATACACTTCAGTTGATTTCACTTCTCATGAGAATACCAACTATTTTCCTATAATCACTTTAAAATCAGCACCATATATCCCTCTTCTTACAATTGCTTCGCTCCCTACAATTGTACTCTAGAAGGCCTCAAAGACCATGTACAACACCTCCTATCATCCCATATATTTTTACTAAGGATCGCTCTAAGACCAAGCCTTCAAATATGCACCTTTCTATTGTGTTGCAACAAGGTAAATGACTAATTACTTCATCTTATTCACTCATTCATAACCAATAATCATTTATCCTCATCTTCTCATCATTTTGCTATCTTTGTTTATTGTCTCTATTCCTAGGACAAATCTAGAAACATTACACCATCCTCCATGAAAACAAGCTAGAGATGCACCTCATAATCAACAAAGAAAGGAATTACTTTCCCCTACCTTTAGGATTAAACTAATAATTTGTCAATAGGTTTTCATCTCATCCTGTTGGTCTCATTGATTGATACAAAGCTTAACTAGTTCCCAAAAATTTTACTCAATTCTACGGGACGGATTACTTTGATACTCTATATGTTCGCTAGACTCAACTCTGTTACAATTCTAATCACTCAATTAAGGTCGGTTCATGCTGCAAACATATGTTAGTAACATTTCATTTATGGTGATCTCAAGAATAGAAATATATATACCTACTAACAAAGGCCATTTATAGACTCAATCAAAAATGGCCTCGAGCAAAGTTCACTGGCTTACTTAGATAAATTAAAAAATCAATAAATTTCTAGTTAGATATAAAATTTTTTTGCAAAAACTGGCCTTCAAAGTAGCTCATTTGATCATTCAATCTTAGTCAAACATTCAACTATAGGCTCAGTTGAGCTAGACATTTACATAGATGACATATTAATCATTGGGAGTAATACAGAAGGCTTATCTAAAGTAAAGAACTTATGGAGTTGTTTTACTACCAAAGATCTAGGGTGACCTAAATATTTTTTTGAGATTGAATTTGCTTACCACAAGAAAGGGGTTTCTCCATCTCAAGTTAAATATGCCACTAAGATTTTTGAAGAAATTGAGTTTTAAGGTGCAAACAATCTGATACCACTATGAACAACCAAACCATATATGATAAAGATATACCATTTAATGATCCATCTTAGTATTGAAGATAAGTTGAAAAATTAATTTAGACGTCAATTACATCATCAAATATCTCCTTTGTTGTTGGGGTCCTAAGTCACCATATGCAAAAGCCAAAAAAAAAAAGGTATATTATTCTTCATATTCTTCGATAAATCAAGGTTCTCAGAAAAGGATTGTAGATTCAAACAGTACAGTTAAAAATTGAAGCATTCAAGTGATACCGATAATGTTGGATCTGTTAATGTGAAAAAGCCAATCTAAGTGCCTGAAAGATTAAGAAACAAATTATTGTAGCCAAATCAGTACTAATACAAAATCTAGTCATGGCTCATTCTACATGTGATTGATGTGAGTAAAGACTATTAGAAGAATCAATTTTCTAGTAATTTAGCCTATCATATATGGCTGCACGATTGCCATAAAGAAATAGATTGTTCAAATAAAATTTTAATGACTTTGTCATAGAAAATGAACCTAGCATCTTAGGAGAAATACTTGAGAAAGAAAAAAAAAACTCAAAACAAATGTCAGCTGCTTAAGAAAATAAAAACAGAAGATACAGCGCATCAAAATGAGAAAAATTAATTTCATTTGGATGCTTAGTTTTAACATAACATATTCTCAGAAAATTAAGTGTGATTTCACTGTTCAACACACCAAACTTTCCAGACAAAACACCTAACTAAATAAGGGAAAATTATCTCTGACAAATCAAATTTAGAAAAAAGAATGCCACCTTGACAGGAAGAGATATAACAAATGCATAAATGGCATACAAACATGAATATCGAAAAAAAAAACAGTAAATTCAGAAGCAAAAGGCCAAGAAAGCTTACAGGAAAAGAACTCCAGCTTGGGACTTGAACCAATCCTTGAGGAAGAATGAGTTGGGCGTAGCTTGAAGATCCTTGCCAACGAGGGCTTATAAAGGAAGCTTTAGAAAGAGGCCAATTTGTCAGTGCCCCAGTCAAGGACTGTTGACCAGGAGTTGTTGGTGACTGTACAGAAGGATAAACAGGAGAACCTCGCAATGAAAGCATTGCATTAGATGGTTGAGGATGGTGAAATTTACAGGTGTTGCCAAACTTGCACTGCCCAGTCCTTATATAATATGCACATTCCTTCTCATTCTAGATACAAAATAGGAAAAGATGAATGAACAATTAGATTAAGAACAATGAATTAAATGCACTTACACAGGAGCATAAGAACATATTATGAACAGGAATCACATACAGGGCGAAGGGGATAGCCTAGGACATTCACTTGAACTCTTCCTGTGATTCCGGCCTTATCCTTCGGGTGATGAAACTTGCATGTAGGTCCAAATTTGCATGTTCCAGTCTTTAGATAGTACTGAGAAAGAATAAAACAGGAAACAAGTTTATCTAAGATTAGAGTTACAGAAGATCAGGATTAGCACCAACAGGAACTGTGAAAGGGAATTAAGTGGAGCCAGTGAAAACAAAACAGAAATTATATGCTGCGTTCCAAAGACAACCGTTATGAGGAAATCTGCCCAAAGTTATCTATTTTCAAGTGGGGAAAAAATCATAGTTGCCTTCATAGATGTTGCAGAAAGATTAATCAAGAATATTTAAACATATAACAATATATATTATCCAAACAATATTGATCAAGTCTCTCAACGTTACTCGTCCACGATCTCAGCATCTGCATAAATGGTATGCTCCGGTTGAAGGGAAGCAGCAGTTATAAACCCTAACCCCACTTCCAATTATAATTAATTTCTTTGAATTGCACTTAACAATAAATAAGTAGCTTACATGGCACGACATATACATGTTTATATGAAGACATCAAATCACTGAATTAAAAGAGATTTCACTAAGACAACCACCTCTCCAGAGAATGTTCAAAAATAATATAATCAATCAAGATAAGAAGCTAGTGAATATTCATAACTAATGAAGGAGCAGGAGAAAGAAAGATCCACCATCTGCATTATAGGACATTATTCATAAGAAACACAACATAACCTGATTATAATGAAAAATGGACTAGAATTGCCCAGAAAATTACCTGCAATGATGCATTACAACTTCACCTGACTGTGATGAAAAGTAAGAAAATATTGACTAAGTTTAAAATTAAGATTAGATCTATCACATGAAATTTAGGCAATATAAATGAGAAGTCAAGAATTAATGGAATTAAAATAGCATGTTTACATGAAATCAAATGGTAAAGAGAAAATCTAACGAAATTAGGAAGGTTATTATATGTTGAAAAGGTCAATAGAAATTGTAGTGAGGATAATAGTGGATAGAAAGTGAACGAAGAATTGTTCAGGTGAATATGGTTAGTGATATCATGATTTCTATTAAGATAATTATCTATGAGGATTTATAAAATGATTAGTGCTTATGCACCTAAATTTGATAAGAAGAAAATTTAAAAATCCAATTCTGAAAAAAATGGATGAACAACTATAACAGACAACAAAAAAATAAAGATTATTTATAGGGATTGAATTAAATTGACATATACATTCTATTAGGATTGACAATAAAAGGATTAATTTTGGTGTGGTATAAAAAAGAAATGCAATGGGAGACATGATGCTTTATTTTGTATAAGATTATGATCTTGTAATAGTGAATACATGTTTTGAAATAAGAGAAGATGTTGACATCCATATGTGATTAACAAGTAAACGAATAGAATACGATGACTACGGCAAAAAATAGATAACTTAAATAAAAATCAATTCATACCGTCCTAAATTCATCGCCCATTTTGACAAATAATAGTCACGATGTTTCTGGAATATCGAAATGGTTAAAAAACACCCTCTCATATTGCTCCAGTTCGACACATGGGAATAAGAGCCGCATAAAGAGGAGAGAATTCATAGGGAATTCATGCACACATAAATATTCTTGAAAAACAAAGAAAGAATATTAATGATAATATATATCTATATATGAAAAGAAGAAATTAATAATAATAATAATAAATAAATAAGGTAAGACAAAAGTAATAATAATAGCAAATAAAGACATAAAAATAAAAACTAATATTATTTTATTAACAATAAAATAGAATAATGGGGTGAAAAAATGCCCCATGTTTCTCTAAAAATTTGGTGTAAGGAGACCCTTTTCCAAACACCTATTGTAGGCACCATTATGGCACCACACACCACCCTCATATAGTTAATATTCTCTCTCCCTCTCAAATCTCTCCTTCTCGTGATCGCACTATCAATGGCACAAAAAGTATAAAGGAGCCACCCCATCATTCTCGTAATTCTCACGTGCGTCTTTCTTAATACGGTGGGGTATTTATTTTTTCTTTTATATGAGCTTTCTTTAGGCAGAAATATGCTTAAAAATATCCATATGCACCTCTCTTAGAGGCTTGGATCATGCATTGCTCATTTAGGTTTTCTGAGAGCCACCTGCGTGCATCTTCTTGATGTGATGAAGGACTTAATTTTGACTATGATGTACCATAAACTATCCTTACAACGCTTCATTTGGCATAGTGGGAAGGCCCTTCATGGGAGTGACATGGACGATATGCTAAAATTTATCCAAAATATACCTAAAAAAGTTAAAGAAAAAATATTTTGGGATTAAAATAACTCTACATAAATGAAAATAACGAACTAAAAGAGCAAAATTGAGACAATTAAAATAACTAAAATTACACCACAAGTCGCATAAAGGCATAGAAAATCAACCAAAACAAACTTGCATGAACTCCAGAGGCTCACCAACGAACACAAAAAGAATTCATCACTCACTCGTGAAACACTTTGAACTCAATTGGGAGATGATAATATGCCAACCAATCTTATCTATAGATGTGGATTCAGAAATAAATAGCTTATATAAAGCCTTCACTACCTCAAGTGTCTCCCTCTGACCAACTCGGCTAGTACGCCTCTTTTGAGCCCCCCTCCCCCCTCTCAATCAAAATTCTCTCTCACTCCCTCTCTTTCTCAAAAAATATTCTCTCCACTTTGCAAGTGATGTAGAACGAACAAGAAAATTTGATGTACCGGAACTTTTGGTGAGCAAGTGTCGCCTTTCCGAAGGACTAGACAGCAAGGATCATCGCTGGAATTTTCTGGCCAGCAAGGGAAAAGCCGTCTAGTAAGCAGGACAGCGAGTATTCCTGTTGAAATTTGAGGACAACAGAGAGAAATCTGCCTACAGGAATCCTGAATAGCAAGGAGAAGCCACGAGAGATTCAGGACAACACTTAATCTCCTTCGGGACATCAAAGGATTGGTTTTTGCATGCAGGACAGCAGGCTCGCAAAGTGAAAACCTGCAGGAATTGGTGTTGGGAGGTATGAAATAAGGGCTTGATCAACTAGTTTAAGAGAAAGAAGATGGGGAAGAGGTCGGCAATAGAGGAGGGGAAAAAGGAATTTAATTCCAGTAAATTTTTAACTTGAATAGGGAGGAAAACAAATTCAAAAGTCTGAAAATAATCTCAGCCTTAAGGGAAGGAATTAATTGGGCATTGATTGATTGATTTGAGGATCATTAATGAGCCTAGGAATTAATGGGGAAGATTTGAATTGGGGGGAGAGGGAGGGTGTCTAGGTTCATTGAATGTGGGGAATTGAATTAAAGCTGAATTTATTTCAGATTGGAATAGATTGAAGTGGTTTCCTAAGATGGAGTGAGTTATTTAGGGAAAGAATTTGAAATTCAAAATAATTTGACTTTGAATTCAAAATCTTCCCAAATAAGTAACACTATTTTAGGAAAGTAGTAAAATTAGGGTGTGGGGAAGGGGAAGATTAGGTGGCAAGGCCGGCGGCTATGCTTGGTGGGAGCCGACGGTTTAAGGTGGAGGGGATCGGTTAGGATTTTGGGTGGAGTAGGGGAAGAGATCAGCGGGTTTGTGTGGAGGAGGGGATGAAGCTGGCAGATTGGAGAGAAGATAGAGGCGGCGATTTGGAAAAATAAGAAGAAACAAAAAACAAAGAAAAACTGTGAGCCCAGACGCTTCTTGCGGTTGACGGGTGATACGTTGCACTTCGCTAAGGGACTTCAAGCCACGAGCCCGGACCCATCCTGCGGCTGGTGGAATCTACGATTTCCTCCCATAAGGATCCTCACCAAAGTTCTTGCCAAAGAACAAAAGTGCATAACAAAATTTTATTAAAACTCCATCATACTATTACACTAGTAAGGGCCTAATACATAGGCCTCAGAAATAAAAGAAAATAAAATAAGACGATCATGCCCCTAGAGCTTACATAAGATTAGACCCTTAAGGATAAAAATAGAAAATGCATAATTAAATCAAAAATACAATTAATAAACTAAGATAAAAATGGAGAAATCTAACGTCCACTATCGGATGTCCGCATAAGCAAGACTGTCATCAATGGAACACAAGATATAAAAAAAAAACAACCTTGTTATTTTATATAATCCTTAGATATGTCTATCTTGATGCAATAAGAAGTTTATTCTTGCTTTTCTGTGTGCTTCCTTTATGCATGAGCCCCTTAAAAACATCCATACATGCCATTTTTGGCATGGAAGAAGCAAGCTTTGCTTGTCCAAGTGCTCTACACATTACCTATACATAGCTTTCTTGGCACGATGCAAGACTTGGTTTCAACTGATAATTGAAAGCAATGTCATTAACCAATATGATTCAAAGAGACACTCCAAATCAATAAAGTATGCCCTTTGGACACCATACAACATGTCTCCCATAGGAGCAGCAAGGCCTCTGTTGGGGATGGAAGTAAATACTAAACACCGCGATGAAATAAACAAGAAAAATAGAAAAGCGGCGGAAATAAAAGGACACCAGGATTTAACGTGAAAAAAATCCAAAATTGGGAAAAAAATCATGGAGTCACACCATACCAATAAGTCCACTATGAAAGTTGGGAAAAATAAGAACATATCTCTCTTCTCTCTCATTCTCTCATTGCTTCTCTTCACTCTTACACCATTCTCAAACACAAAACACAAGAGAAAGTTAAGTAAATAACACCAAGGGATGCCAACCTTCAGAAAAACAAGAAAGAAAATTGTCCAGTATGCCTCGCAGCGTTGCGGCACCATATTGGAGCACTACGGCGCTCAAACCATTGATCCCGATCTATCTAACGATGTTGTGGTGCTCAAACCCACAATGCTGCAACACTACACAGCGCTGCAACATCGAGTCTAGAGCACTACGATGCTCTGCTCTCTGTCGTTTCTTCCAGCAAGCTTTGTAGTGCTAGAGCACTTGATTGCATAGGGTCGAAGCGCTCGGGTGCACAACGCCAGGACGTTGTATGAAAAAAAAATTTTTGGGTGCAACTAAGGGGAGGACCCCCCACCCCCCCAACGAACATGATAAATT